CCGCACCCATCCCGCACCCATCCTGCACTCATCCCGCACCCATCCTGCACCATCGCCGCACCCACCCTGCACCGCTCCACCCCACCAAATCCCCGCAGCCCTCCTCCACCCATCCTGGGCGTGTCCCTACCCCCACCCGTCCGCATGGCGCCGGTCACCTGCCGTTGCGCGAGCGGCCTGCCTGGGGACGCGGACGGGCCAGGGCCAGGGCCGGCGCTGGCGAGAGCGAGCAACGGCAGACGGGGGCGAGAGGGCGGGTGCGTTGCAAGCACCTCGTCCCGGGCGCCGCGCCACGCGACCGCGTCGTTTGGCCGCGCCGCTGGCTGCGCGCCTAACCAGCGCTGACAAGCGGCGCTTTTAGGAAGCTAATTTCTCCCCGCCAGGCGTCTGGTTTGTGGGAAGGAAATTCAGGCGATAAATATATCACTAGTAAATTTTATTTGTTCGTGTGGTTCAGACATATTTATTTCCAAGTTTGGGAAATATTTATTTTGATAATGTTTTGTTTGTTTATATTTCTGAGGATTGATACTTCTGTCTTGGGTAATGCATGATGTATTAATGACAAAGCGTTACTAAGAACTGAGTCAATGAATATCTGAACTTCCAGCCAATGTTTTAGACATTGCGTCCCATTATAATGGAGAAGCGTATCAAACTTAGTTTTCTGTTGCGAACACTATATATTTATGTTAACTAAACGACGCATACTTGGCTACAGGCCGTACGCTTGTTTACTTTATTTTGAGGCTGGGCAATTGAATAATAATAATAATAATAATAATAATAATAATAATAATAATAATAATTATTATTATTATTATTATTATTATTGTAATAATATGATAATAATGCTATTAGTAACAAAAAGAAATTTAATAATCTCTCTGACTACGATATAGTCAAGAAAAATATAGCAAGAAAAAATGTAAACACTAAAATATTCAACTGTTGACAATATACTGATGATTAGTGGGTAAGAGAATACTCGTGTCAGAACTGCTCAATTGTTTAAACTACTAAAGACTGAGCCACCATATATTCCGTTCGCTTGTGCTCTTGCAACCTCGAGTGGCATGCAAGCCGTTTGCTCGCTAAAAGCGCTGTGTACTTCAAATGAAGTGAGGGAGGTGAGAGGGGCCTCTGTGACTAACAAGTTACGAGGAACTGTGGCCCGGGCGCGCTTTCTCGTGATCCGGAGTTTTCGTGGAACTCGGTTGCTGTACGCTGATGCAACGCGACAGGCTTTCGAGGAAGAACCTAAAGCTCCAAGAAATGCTCATCGCCCCGTAGCCATGTTCGAATAATGGTAATTGAAAAACGACATACTTAAGATCACAGAACACATTGGTATTTGCAACAACATGACTTGGAACATCTCGTATGAAAATTACCTTAATGAAAAGAAACCTGTCTACACTAAAATACACAGAAGAATTTTTATTATCAGTAATATTTATTTTCAGAGTTCAACTTCTCAATTAGGTCATTCACTTGAATTAATGAATTAAAACCCAAAGTGATACAGTGAAAGTGCTGTTACAAAACGTACAGTGTAATGTCCCACCCAAATTTCCCAGATATTTTACTCTGAACCTATTAATGAGTAAATTGTGTAACACTCGGTATATTTTGCCAGCCTGGGTGATCGAGGTGGCTAGAACCCGTGCACACAGCGCTTCTCTCTGAAGGGTCGCGGATTCAAGCCCCGCCTCGGGCACGCTTGTGTGTCTCTTGTCTCTCGTGTATGTATTGTCGTGGAAGGTCGCGCGTTCTGCTGACCACAGATCAGAGAAGCCCGCACAGTGGGTTAATGTCTAGTGTATAGTCAAATAGGAGTCCCATCGAAACCCAAAGGGTAACCTGCTGGCGGTTGGAAAATGCCCTAAGAAGGGTGTATTTTTAAAACATTAAATTCAGTATATTTCAAAAGTAAATTTGTCTAATAGTAGTAATAGATTGTTTATTTCGTCATGTAAGACTCACTAAGCAACGAAAATGCGTCGACTCAAAAAAAAATATTTTCGCATATCCCTATTCGTTGCGTAATGTTAAATGCTAAATTTCAACAAAAGGTCAATTTAAATATAGTTCTTTAAGAAAATATAACATCACGTATATTACTGAAAATAAACACGAGCTTATACGAGAGAACGACAAGAAAACATCTACGCCTAGTGACCTGAGAATCACTAATGAACTAATATAAGTTGAAAAAAATTCAAAATAGCTGACTGGAAGGGACATGATGCATCAGATAAAGAATGCATGCTTTATTTTCGGCTGTGTGTGTTTACTCTGAAACTGAAAGCTACTAATCGACCCAAAATCAATCAATATTCGTTAATTTGAAATGTAACGTGCAAGACAATACTGGAACAATGCCCTTTCAAGAGACCTACAGCTGGCCAAATGGCGGAAAAAGGAAGAAGCCGAAGTAATTCATTCATAAACAGTGAGTTTGAGATTCTGAAGCTTAACACATCTACATTCCCTCTCAGAAGTATTTTTTCCATTCAGTTTAATATGTTTCAATTTTATGATCTGATGACGGGTTAGTAAATGTACATTTTTTTTGTTCTTCATTGATTTAAATATGTCTGCAAAACATTGAAAGAGTTGCATCTCAAGTTAGGAGCGTTAGTGTGCATTGTTATTATAACACCTTGACTGCATTAAATTGCAGACTTTATTCTTATAATGGGATGAGAGGTATGACTGCCCTGCCACCGGCGTCGAAGCATGTGGAGGTAGACCAGATACCTGGTAGCGTCACAAAATATATGTGTGAACGTGTAGGGCGAACAGTACCGAAGCGTGACTTGTCTGCGACCAATCTGAAACTTTAGTGAAGGGTTATTAAAAAGATTAACGAGTTATCCTATCTGATGTTTGATCACCTAACAATGATCGCGTAATGTGAATAGCAGAGTTACGACTACGTCGTAATGTTTCCGGTATGAGATTAAACAAAGCTCCAGTGGTCGGGCAAAATCAACGATATGTCAACGAATGGCGTATTCAAATGACTTATCCGAAACTTAAAAACTTTTGAACGATAGTGTCATGAGGGTTGTAGGGTTACGTGTGCATGTATTGTTGTGAGCAATTCGGAGCTTAAATGATTGCGAAATGTGAATGTAGACTAATGATGAACAAACTGTGACCAATCATCACAGGTACTGATGAGGGAATATATGCAATATGTCGTCAGCTAATTGGTCTACCTAAACTATCGCTGCATCACGATTGAACGCATGAAGTAACACATACCTGCTGTTTTCGGCCAATGACGACTGACATACACACACATAACCAACGCCAATTACACTTAAGTGTGTGTCAGTGTAGATGACGTTAACCTGGCACGTCAGTGTAGATGACATTGACTTGAACTTAACCACCATTAGCCGAACATGCCTTAAAAAATTATTCCATTGACCCAATGACGCTGGACTTCAGATGTCTCGATCAAAACTTTTCAAACATACCTCCACCACACAGAATTGAATCCCTTCCTTTCATTCCGATATAAATGTAAAGTCCCTTCAATATCAAGAGCTGGAAGTTGAGTGGGGCACTGTCATCCAATCGACAGCTTCGTCACGACTTAATTTGGTACTGAAGCTCCCGAGTTGATAGCAACGTTTACCTTGCCTTCCAGGAACACTCCATTTATACTCGTGGCACTTCCAGGTCACGGACTGGAAGGATATGGGGACATTGTCTTCCAATCTCAAAACTTCCAGTTCACAGAAGTTTCGTCCGATTGAGTGTCCCGATTGGGTGACAGTGTGTGTCTCTCTCTCTCTCCGAATACCTCGTGACCTTGAAGGGCTACTGTATTTAAATCGGTGTAGGCAGTGTTTGCAGCGACTCACTGTGGTGGGCGGCGGCGGCGCCGCCGGCGTGGGCGTCGTCGGCGGCGGGGGCGGGCGGCGGTGCGCCGGCGGCGGGCGACAGCAGCAGCAGCGCGGCGAGGGCGGCGCCGGGCCCGTGGCCCAGCAGCGTCACGTTGCCCGGGTCGCCGCCGAAGGCGCGGGCGTTGTCGCGCACCCACTGCAGCACGGCGATCGCGTCCCACAGCCCGTAGTTGCCGTGCGCCTCGCGCGAGTCCGGCGGCGACAGGAAGCCTGCAACAACACGCGACACTCACTCTCCGCTAGAGCATGAAAAGGGGGTTATTCCTCTCTTCGGGCATCGCTTTATATAAGGCTAAGGAGTTAGCATTGTTCGCGACTTTTCTAAAGAAGAAAGGCCAGAATCATCCCCAAGAATGTCGACGTATCCATTTAAGTTAGTCCTCATGCGTCTCCAGAGAGTCAGGCTGCGACAGGAAGCCTGCAACACCGCGCCGCACGCTCAGATACACTCACTCTCCGCTAGAGTATGGAAAGTGGTTTATTCCTCTTCGGGCATCGATTTATATAAGGCTAAAGAGTTCGCTTTGTTCGCGACTTTTCTAAAGAAACAAGGCCAGAAGCATCCCCAAGAATGTCGATGTTTACATTTAAGTTAGTCCTCATGCGTCTCCAGAGAGTCAGGCTGCGACAGGAAGCCTGCAACACCATGCAACACACGCTCAAATACACTCTCTGCTGATACAAGAAAATGAGTTTCTCTTTGCTGTTTGGGCACTGTTCAATAAGAGGCTACAGAGTTGACATTTTTCTGTGCTTTTTCTAAAGAAACAAAGTCAGAATTATTCTTAATAATGTCGACGTAATTTTTGTTTTCTACATCGTCGCGCTAAACAAGAAAAGGGCTCAAAAACTGCCGCAGACAAGTCGTTCCAATCTACTACTGTGTACAAAAAGAGTATTTTCCTACATCCATTCTTTGCTTTTGTGTTCTAATTTTATATTTATAATGAAATCTATTTATATAATCTGGTTTATTTAGTCTTCTTCGAATTTCTCTGTACGTTAAACAACGAGTGTAAGATTTATACACTGTGCAAAGGCGTGCCTTTTTTCTTCGGTTTTCTCATGACTCCCAATGCGCAATTAATTTACACCCCAAATTCAATTACCTCCAAAAGATTTCAAAGACGTCAGTACAACTTTGTAAGCCTATAAAAGGTCCGGCATGCCAGAATTAAATGTAGTACAAACTGTTATTGATGCTCAGTATCTCTAGGAGTCATTTTAAAACATTGTATGAAAATGCAAAACCAACTACCAGGAATTTGGAATTCCACCGCTGTATTGCTTACACGTGTTCTAATTATCACGTAATCATCCATTGAATATATCGAAGCAACATGTTCCTCATTACTGATAAAATGTATGTATTATGGATACAATGCTTTTGCGATTTTCTACTAAATTTTGCATGATCAACATCACCTCTAATAATCTAAAATTTCTGCTTTTAACATAAATATGCAAACCAAATGATCTTCGAAGTCAATTTTTGGAGAAAGTATTAAATATTAGTTTACAAACAAAAGGGGAACTAAAAATAAAGCAATATCTCGTGTATCTATTATATTTTTTGTGTACAGTTATTTTCAGTAGAAAAAAATGTTAGTTTTCATGAATTCATACGTTTTATGACACAGTAGATTCGAGATAATAGAACTGTTATTATTCTTAAACATATATAGATATGTCCTATTGAAAATGGGAAAACATTACAATAGAACTGGAAAAATCTTGAAATATTAGAACCAAAAAAGAATAAAAACGTGTATTAAAAGAAATTTGAAAAAAAGAAATTGAACTTCCATGAAACTCAAGAACACTCTCCGTACTGCAATAGTACATACATTCTTTTATTAGTTATATCGATTACGTAATCGTGTCTTATTACATTTAGTCTATGAACATTTAATGTTCTCTTACTTATCTGTCTCTATAAAAGTGCAGAAGTGTATTTAAAAAAAATGATATTTTTAAATTTTTAAATTTAAATTATTTTAACGATAATGATACTTCGGTTATTACTGTAGTATGGTCGTTCTAAGTCAAAACCCAACATTAAAAAAATGTTAAAGTTTTGCAAGGTTTGAGTAAAGCAAGCAACATTCGGTTTGGAAACACATCTGTGTGAAGTTTAGGTGCTAGTTGTTTTCTCAAACAGAATAATCTGACAAACCTGTGGATGACTGACCAACTGACGGACGTCCCAACTGAAGGACATGGCAGATGTACGGAGTGGCTGACGTACGGACTGGCTGACGTACGGACTGGCTGACGGTCTCACGAACAGGAAAAACGATTGACGGATGTAAGAAGGGACAAGCCTTCGTTAAGAAACCACCTTTTGTGAGTAAAGAAAAACCTAAAACGTTTATCTGTCATCTCGAATTTTTTAGTGTTACTTAATTTTATAGAAATAATATACAGGGATTTATCATGAAAGTATTTTAATCTGTGGTTTAATAATCATTTTATATTAATTGCGATTTAAATGAGCTATTTGAACCAAGTGAAATAAATCAGAACTAAATAAGTTTTTATTATTTGCGGTTTACTTAAAATATTCCGATAAATTCTTCCTGGGTATCGTCGACGAAACGGGAATTAAAAGTTAAATGTTCAATTGTCCTATACGGAATAACAACATAATTCACTGAATTGTGTCTCGAGACTCAAGACAGTTTGATCAACCAGTCGAGAACGTTCTCATTTTTAAGTTTCAGAATATATGTAACGTACAAAAAATTTCTTACGAACAGAGATGTGTGGTAACGAAAAAATTAAAAACAACAAGAAGAAAACCCGAACCAACTACCCACGAAATCAAATTTCATATTTTATATATTTTTGACTGTTTGGTTAATAAATTTCTGGAATTGTATTGAATGTTGTAATTATGCATTCCCATTATAATTTGGCTCTCGACCATTATTAAATTTTAACGTCCAATCGTTGATGCTGATATTCGTTGAATGAAATATTTGCATGTTTACAGAACACAGAATTAAATTATAATGCACTCACACAAAATATAATTTAAGGTTTAAATAATGAGGAACTATGGGGTGAAATAAATCGTCGTATTGTTTTCAACATTAATCATAAAATGTATTTCAAAAGAAAGTTTTATAATTCAACGTGCTGTCTTTTATTAAGAAAACTGTGTTCTGTTACTTACGTGTACAGGTATAAATTGCGAAAAAGCGTTGCTATGAAAATCTGTTTTAAATACTGCGATCAATATTTTTTGTTTTTTATTCTATTTAAATCTAATTGAAAACAAATTTTTTCGACGTATGAATTTAACCAAGCACAATCCTCTGATTAGGACTCGTTGTCATCATGCACGCTTTCCACTACGCGACCACGAGTTCGATTACCGGTCGAATCAAGGTTATAGTGTGCCTTTTCTTGCAATGTCCCAGTATACTTTGCTCTGCGACGATGAGAAAATTCACTTCTCAGGTTGAGAATACCGGAATACGGCGTGGGGATGTCTACGTGCTAACGGCACGTTCGCCCAATAGCCACGAGGCAGAGACGGCGCCAGTTGGCCTGAGCCTGTTCACGGGATGTCGTGCCAATTACATACAAATATACATACAATCCTCTGATAAAATTATGGATTCTCCATAATAATTTCCACTATTGTTTGAACATACGTGAAACTACAAACAAATTTTAGAACTTGATATAGAATTGAACTAGAAATCTTTACCAGTGAATAACGAATTTAATCTATGTAAAACAATTTTGTAAAGCACAACAACCGCACGTTTTGGCTACACAAAAAATCGAAAGTGTTGGAAAGAATGAATTTGTGCAAAGATAAGTAAAACATGTGTATACGACAATGAAAAATGGTATCCAAGAAATATATTGCTGTGTGAGTTTGGAGGAGTAAATGTAATGTTTTAACACCATTATGTGAGTGACTGTAAAGTCACTAAATTGTAACCTCAAAAGGTCTCCTACATGAAAAAACGAAAAAAAAGACTGGTGTTGATGAGTCAAAAAGGTGATTCCTTTAAAAGAGCAAAAAGCCTAGAAAGCATAGCCTCAAGAGCAACCCGTCTCAACCCGTACTCTATTGCAGAGCTGCACCTGTGGGCGACCTATTTGATTTGCACCGACCCATCAGAGGGCAACCGGCGTGGCCCGTTGATTGCCGAGATAGCCCAAAGGGAGGGGAAGCGTTCGGTTTGATTGATTGATTAGTGTTTCCGGTCGCTGGAACAACTGAGGTAATTAGTTCCGTATGTGGAAGTGCATGATTTTTGATTACGGAAGGTGGCTGTGACTTTCCCTTGCCACTGTACCCCAGCCACGTCAAGCTCAGAGCCCCCGACTAGTCTTCCGCCAAGTGCGGCAGTGTAATGCATGCAGGTGTGTGTGTGTGTGTGTGTGTGTGTGTGTGTGTGTGTTCGCGTGTTCCGCAACCCATTTGTTAGGGCACTGATCCGGCATTCGCCTGGCGTTATTCGATAAAACAAATGAAAGTTCCGTTATGGAAAGGACATTCTTCTCCAGACAGCAACTGAATTTGACCTAGTTAGTATCGAAATCCTGCTGCCGTTGAAACTCGAATTATAGGATCTCCCGTTCATGAGCATTCCAGTGACGTCAGTTGCCACTTCAGTCGGTGGGAAGCGCTTGGGCCAGCGGGCTCTAGTCTAGTGAAAGGCGAGTGGTGGGCATTGGAAGCATTTGGCTCGAACGCTTGCGTTTTGGGCAGCCCTGCAGTACGAGGCATTTCGCGAATCAACGGCCAAGATGCGGTCCCCAAGGCGACCCGTGTGTGCCTTACGCGCCAACCGCAGACCGCACGCCGCCCGCGGTGGCACAGAGGGGGCGCAGTGCACAGCGTGTGGGGCCGGACGCCGGTTGAGGCTTACCGCCATTAGCGGGCACTACACCTGCCATTGTGTGATTTGGACAATGCTCCCTGTCGCTCCGGATTAATTATTGCGCTGTGTTTGGAAGTAAGAAACAGGACACTTGTTTAATTTAATTATTAAATATCCATAACGATGCACTATTTTTTTTTATTTCTGAAGTAGATTAACGTATTAGGTAATATATAAGATGTAGAAATTATCAGTCACGTCATTAAATTCAATGTACAATAAAAGTCATCACCGTGTAAGGCCTAGTAAAGGAAGCTAAGGCCTAGCTTTCTTGATACACTACATTCAAAGCACACGATACAC